CCTTCAACATGAATCATTCGAGCATCAATCAGCGGAGATAGAACAGAAGCCACAGAGCGTTCAATGTGACCCACTTGAAGGGTTCTCGTATTGAGGACTTTGATAGCGTTTGAGTCATAAGGGTTCAAGGGTTGGCGAACCAGACCCACCATTTCGCGGCCGCTGATAGTGCCAGAGTAGTGCTGGAGGCCGACAATGTTGGCGATAACGAAGCCGAGCATATAAGAGTCGTTGGAGGATTGGGAGAGTTGGTCGGGGTCGGGGTCTTGGTCGTGGTCTTGCCATTGGTCGAGAGTCATGAAGAGGGCAATCGGGTCTTGATCTTGGAGGTCTTGTTTAAGTTCCATGAAGTGGTGGGGTTTTGGCTGTGAGCGAGCGAGCGTCTGTTTATATAAAGTGGATTTAGCGTTGGATGTTAACGAAGAGACAGAGAGGAGTGAGACGGCTTGAGTTTTGAGTTGAGTTTGAATGGAACGAGAAAGGCGGGTTTGGATAGAGAAAATCGTTTCCCATACCTACACACAGGCCCTCATTACATTTGGGCTCCAACCAGGCCACCTTGGGTTAGGCCTGTCCTGGGGTTGATTTCTATATGGTTAGTCTGGGTTTTATTTTTATTAATTAATTAATATAAGCTTAAAATATATTATTTTTATTATCTACTGTTATATGATAACCTTTTTAACTGATGCTGTCTTTATTCATATCCATCACTCAATTAGGGTTTATTTCATATTCCTTGTGACATTGTTTTATATTAACATATTTAGTGTTCTCGGAACTTCTTAAAAACCTTTATGTAATTATTTAAAACCCTCTTAAAATTATTAAAAATTCTCCTATTTGAGGAGGGTTTTCAATTGTTATGCCTAGAAAATCAGGGTTGACGTTAGCCTATTTCAACAAGCACCAATCGGAGTTTATGAAGACTTTGCACCATCTAAGAGCTGCCACGTTGCTCCATGACAGAAAGAATATGATTGTCACCAACTTAATAGATTCAAGTTTCGTCTATAAGTAACTGAGGACTACACACTTACCTAAGCCCCTGATAATTTGAAGATATTTCTTAAGTTATTTGCCAATAGGAGGCAAGAAAAGACTTGCACAATACTTAATCACTTGCAGATTTATAATGATTACCTTGAATTCCTCTACTATAAATAGAGGACCCCCCCTCACATTTTCAAGATTTTGAGACTGAACCTTCATTCTGATTGTAATTTTTATTTTCAGAGCAAAGTTAACCTACGAGAAAGAGACGGACTTGATATTCTCTTTGAATACTCAATTATTATACATCTATTTGCTGTTCGCTATACGCGATCTCTTGTAATCTCTCATATATAAAAGAAACAGTGGACGTATGATTTACTTTAAGCATCTAAACCACTTTAAAAATCATATCTCTCATTTATTATTCAGTCTTTGTATCTAATTATATTTCTAAGAACGCCTTAACACTTTGCATGTGCGAGTCGTTGGTATCAAAACCACGTATCAACATCGATAGTTTCAAAAAATAAGCGTGCTAATATTAAACAATCCCATAAGAGGTGTATGAAAAAACCCCTTATCGGACGTTTTCAATAATTTCTGAAAACCCTAGGGGTGCGTTTGGATCAGGGTCATATAAGAAAATAGGAGTAATCTTCGTTTATTTTGTAATATTCCGTTGTTTGGTTTACAAGTAATAAAATAGTACATGTATCTTTTATTACAAATAGTGTTTATTGTTAGTAATGTATGGGGTAATACGATCCCCTCCCCCTAAGGTGTTATTAAAAGATTACTAGGAAATCTGATTTTTATACCTATTTTGCCTTTAATTAAATATCATTTCGGACACAATTGCCCTAAAATGTCTATCAACTAACCAACCTAGCCCCCATACATTTGAGAATTTAGCTAAAACACCCCAGTCATAAAAAAGTTTAAAAGTTAACAAAATATCCCTAGCCACCCAAGACCACTACTAGCGTTATTTGTCGTAATGGCGTGCGACCAATGAGATTTGCCCGGTCGTGGCTAGTCAGGTCGTTTTCTATGGTCGTTTCACGACCATATCTTTGGCTGTGAAACGGCCATGGATCTGTGATCCATGATCAGAAATGACTTTGTCAGCTCATGGTCGGCCATATACGACCAGTCGTGCGTCATTCTATCGACTGTCGGCGGTGGTGGCTGGCTACTAACAGTGACTTGGGGTGGGTGGGGGTGATTTTGTTATGAATTAAAGTTTTATATTGCTGGGGTGTTTTAGCAGAATTTCAAATGTAAGGGGTTAAAAAATTGAAAAATAATATTATATTAATATTTAAAAGGAGGACAATAACTTACATAACATACTCACCCATTTATTCTCCCAACCAAACATATAAATATAACATATTAACCAATTTATTCAAACCAACCAAACGCAATTTCCTAAACATTCTCAGTAATTTTTAATATGATCTATTTTTCCATTAATATAATATCTATTTATAATAAAATATTATATGATCCAAACGAAGCATAATGTATTAAAATTGAACAATCCCGCAAACCCCTCCTCAGTGTAAAAATTTTGTAACCCTTCAACCGGTTCATTTCCGTACTCATTCTCCTATTTTCATTTTATCAACTTGTAATTTGTGCAAATGTCGTTAGTTTACAAATTTCATTTTTTAAATTGAAAAATTATAAAACAGAGCGAATGGTTGCACGCTTATTTTGAAAGAAAATAGAAATTCATAAACGTGTTTTTATGTTCTGAATACTCATAATTTAAATTAATCTTATTTTCAATACTTTTATAAAGTAGAAAACACCACCATAGAGCACAGACGAGAACATCTTAAAAACTCGAGTATAATCAACTAAAAGATATATAAGTCCAAATAAGTAGATTTGGTATAAGGTTTTTCAACTTGAAAAACTCAAGAGTATTATCAAAATATATATAATTATTGAAACTATAATGATAACAATTTGGAAGACACATTAGTGAAAGTTGAGTTATTGATAACAATTTAAATTGGTTTGTCATAAATAAGTATATATATGCTTAATATAAAACCACAAAAAATTGTACTAAAGTTTCATTAAATTTTATAAATAAACAGTTATCATATTGGCAAAAAAATGAGATATTTAAATGAATAGTAACATAATTTTTACCTAATATGTTAGTCCCGCACCATAAATTGAAATATCGTAGTTTGCAGAACTAGTAACATGGCAAATATGCTTTCTAGAGAAACAGTTATCGCCCACCCTTGTAAAGATCTTTATGGGTTGTGTTAATGCATGATATCAACTAATTGCTATGTTTGAACTAAGAGTATATGTCCCCATGCACAAAGAGGTTGTAGCCTCCATATTGTTTGAAATAAAAGGCACACTGCTAAGCCCTAAACCCTAAATTCTAAATCTCGAGTTTTATTTTGAAGATTGTAATCTTAACATGAAACATATAACCCAATATTGTAATCTTAACATGAAACATATAACCCAATAAATAGTTGTATGATTCATAAGCTGGGATTCTTTGGTGAAGCAACTCAGGGTCCATAAGTTGGCAGTCCATTCTTCTAGCTTTGTGCTACACTCACTAGAATGGCATCTTTGAGGCACCACAGATAAAAATTGCCATTCCTTCAATTTACATGTTTGTTATTTTGCAATCATATATATATATATATATATATATATATAATAGGTTTAACAAATGCTGGATACCAAAGAAAATACCACTCAAAAAGGGTCAAGCAGAGAGCAATAGTTTTGACTACAGGATTAACTGCATAACTCAGCCCAACATATCAGAACAGCTAAATCACAATCAGACCATCATTCTTGGAGAAATCTCTATCATCGAAATTATGATTTAGAGAAGGCAATCTGAAAATTTTATATTTCTCAATGTTTATCCTTGTGTACGAGATGAGACTAAAACATGGAAAGAAATGAGATAGAAATACTCTTATTACACATTATATGTTAAAGCAGCTTCTTCAGCTTCCAGGTAATGATTCCACAACAATCAAGAAGCTCAGACTATATATGTCTATGCTCCAAATCTATGCACACACCAGGCAAGTACATCAAGATTCCTGGGATCTAGGATAACCTGATTCCATGTTTACTAAACACCAATAAGTTTGGACCACCAATTTGTAGTAACATAAGCAGCACTAAAATAATTATGGCTTCAATTTTCAGATACTGTACTTTATTGGAAAGTTAAGATTGAGTTTCGCATAATGGAGGACTATGATAGGCAACATTGCTGATCCTAGTTAATCAAATAACAAGCGAAAAGAAAAAAAAAGAAAAGAAGTCCTCCTAATCAGATCTCCAATGTGAAGAAATTAAATATGCCAGGAGATTTCCCTTACCTGAGAAGCATCTAATCTGGCTTTGAGTATCTTCTTTCATCTTGATGGAATTAAATACCAACACAGACGCCACCAACCAGCTCTTAAACCATGAAATTTGAGCATGCCAACAGGATACTACAACAGTAAATGGCTAGAGGCTTATTGACTAAAATTTCATTCTAAGAGAGCAGTATTAGATCTCATACAAAATGAAATCGCGTGATCCCAAAAATTTATTTCTTACAGGTTTCCAAAGTGATCCATTGGTGCTTTCTTACTGCAGTTAAATGAGTTAACTTATTTATTTAACAGAAGTTCCATAAATTGACATTTTAATTTCAACACAAAGTCAAATAATAGTTTAGTATATGTGATTATGATGATTCTTCCTGATTTTCACTCAAACATTATTGTCTTCCAAGCTAGCATAAACACAGTTTTAGTTATTTGATATCTGTAAAACATGTTTTTAGTCATAGACTATAGGAGAATCAGTTACCAATAAATCAAGTGCACTATGAGTACTATATTCTTAACAGTCAACTGTACGAATATTCATGAGTATGATGTAAAATATTTCATCATCTAATCCAGACAGTTCCAAAATGATGCAACATCACACCGCAAAAATTGACATAAAAAATTAAACAAGCAAACCCAAGCTTCATTCATAGCAACAAAAACTAAACAAAACTCAAAATAGAGAATACAATAACACAGATTAAACAAAGACACAACAGAATAGAACAAGGTAGTGATGCAGACAAAATCGAGGGTTGTAGAAACTGTACAAGCAGGATAGACTGCAACTCATGACAATAGTTCCTTCTCACTATTTAAAGTTATTAGATAATACCACAAACCCATTTAAGTTACTATGATGGAGCAGTAGGAATCGTGGATGAGGGAGAGGGTTCTCGTCGGAGTTCCTTAACCACAGCAGCCAGAGCCTCAGGGTTCAGACCCAAGTCACAAAGGGCAATGAGAATTGAGAGGGTGTGACGATCAAGCCCCGTATCAAGAATGTTGGACATGTGAAACGCAAGGTCAAGGGATTCTCGGGCAGTTCGTGCAGCCTCTGGATCCATAGCTAGGTACCACAAAAAAATTATGCTTTCTTGAAAACATTAGCGCAAATTGACCCACCTCACAAAATGAAACTTAAAATATAACTAAATTACACATACAACAATGTGTTCAACAACTCACAGCGCCAGATGAAAAATGGGAAAAAAAAACACAAAAATTCAGATGAATACACAGTATCTTTTAGTATGTATTCTCACTCACCAAGTGGATTAAAACATGTCAATTGAATAAAAACTAGAAGATTCTCATAATGATAAGATTCCACAAAACAACACGAGCAGAAATTGATACAAAGAACAGCATAGAAAAAACAGGAAAAAATAATAGAAAACTTTCTTCAGAATTTCAACCCATTTGCACAAAATCACAAAAGTTTCAAATTCTAGCAATCACCAGAAAGTATTCACAAAATTAAAATTATTGAATTGAACCACAATCCCATAGATAGTTTCTAACACATTTGCACGTAAAAAATAGGAAACCCACAAAGCATCAAATACTAAAAGCCACAAAACCCTAAACTATTCACAAAATTAAAATTATTGAATTGAACCACAATCCCATAGATAGTTTCAACACATTTGCACGTAAAAAATAGGAAACCCACAAAGCATCAAATACTAAAAGCCACAAAAACCTATGCAAACGGAGAAATAATTTCTATGGGACATTTAATCAAGCAAAATGCTGTCCATCAAAAAAACTTTGCCAATATCATATACAATCACGCGTTTTAACCTTGTTATGATGATAGAAAATCGCAACGGTGGAAATGAAAAACTCTCGTACCTTGATTCGAATTTGACAGAACGGCGGTGACGACGAGAGAGCAGAGATTGAAATGGGGAGAAGAAAGGGAAAGAGAGGTAAGAGTTACCGGGTCGGGCTCCAGTGGCCGTTGAGGCCCAAAAGTTTCCTTTTGAATTCTACTTAGTTGGCTCGATTTTGAATTGCAAGTTACATACATCCTGGGTTTTCTTTTTCACTAGAATCATGTTAGCGATGTTTATGTACAAATTTATTATTAGGTGATTTAAATTAAAATTTTATTGGAAAAATTTGAATAAATATGTGTAAAAAATAGTTTGTATATGCACCATTTCATATGTTCACAAATCCTTTATAAAAGTTGAAATATGTAACCGGTCATTCTATAAAGTATTATATCCTTTTGATGATGAAATGAATGTAAAATCTGAAAAGTAATATGGAATTTGACATTTTCAGTTTGAATAATGCTTTAGTATTTTACACATACAAATTGTTGGTGTCAAAATTACGTATCATCAAATAGATTATTGAATTAGATTATATACTTTTGCTCAATAAGAATATTTCAAAAAGAGTGGTCAAAATGGGACAAAGCGTGGCCTAAAGATGTGATAAAGGCCCGAAAGCATCTCATGGGTCATAATCTCCAAAAGATCAAGACTTAAATCATGATGATCCAATCCTCCAATAACGAAGCACCATGTTACTGCTCACTAGAGGTGTTCAAAAGAATCCATTGGAACCAAAACCAGTGGATATCCAAGGTTTGGTTCCGGTTCCTACCCGGAACAGCCTATCAACGGATAGGTTTTGGTTCTAAATTTTTGAAATCATTACTGTGCGGTTCTGGTTCTGGTTCCAGTTCCTATAGTTAAGAACTGGAACCGAAATCGGAAACCGAGATTAATATAAAATAAAATTAAAGAGTAGGGGGGGTTAATAAAAACTTTCGTAGAAAAAGTAATGTAAATACATTTATATTTATATTTCATAACATTTAAAGTGAATTGGTTTGACTTTTGAGAATCTACCTTTACAAAGTAATGGAGTTTGTAATTTTGAATTTCTAATTTGTAATTTTAGTTTTATTAACAAGTGCGAGGTGGAGGGGTATTTGTAAGTTTTTAAGGGTTTTTTTTTTCTATTTTAAAAAATTTTGGTGGGTTATTGTAATTTTATAGAGTACCCAGAATCGGAACCGGAACCATTGTTATAGGTTCCGGTTCTGGGTACCTAAGAACCGGAACTATCGGTTCTGGTTCTGGTTTCAAATTTCAAGGAACCGTCGATTCCGGTTCTGGTTTCTTAAAAAAATGTAGGATACCCAGAACCGAATACCCTCACTGCTCACCATCTCCATAAGGGTATTAATCAATAAATGTATTTATACTCTTCAACTTTCGTAACTATCAAGTTCAGTCACCATGACATTAAGAATGGAAAGCTACACTACATCCAATCATATTGTAACCAACCAACATTTGGAATTTGAAGCCATTAAACATGTAACATATAGTCTAAAAATCCCTCTATTATTTTACACCCAAGACTATATTATACAGAATAGAATGGGAACCATGAGGTCAACGCACACAATTTCCATTAGTATTACACTATACTCCGAGTTTCTACATAAAACAAGTTACTCAAATTATTAACTTAAATATCGGAAAGGAGGTCATGCTAACAACTCAACTAACGACATTTTTTTATATTTAATATTTGGTTTCTATAGCTATAAAAAAATTAGAGCTTCATAGAGTACGGTTGAGATTGCTGTAGCTTAATAGTTAATCACTTAATTTTTTAGCTTGATTATAATTAAGTTAGGACAATAAAAGTGTTTGGTAAATAATTTTTAAAATTAATTAAGTTTCAAGCTTATAAAAGGATTTAAAATAATTTTTCTGCCCTTTAACATTTTTTTTCCTCATTGTAATAAGTGAAATAATTAAAAATGTTGAATGAATGTCATGTTTTCTAATTTGATTTGTTCACGTTGATGCATAATCATCATGATTCATGACATGAGGATACTTTTTACTATTTCTGGTCTATTTGAGTGTGCTTAGTGCTTACCTGATTTTAGTGGTTTATTACATGTACTAGGTAAGCGATAATTCTCACTATTACTTATCTGTTTGATAGTGGTTGTGGTAGGGGTTGGGCCAATAAACAAGGATGACGCAGAATATGGTGCCATTTGAGGTATACGTAAACTGACTCGAATATCCCGATCTTCAAATAAAAAACAAAGTGTTTAATGATAAAATCTTCACCATGGATAAACTTGCACATGCACTTACTAAGACTCTCTCACGGCAACGTCTTCATCAACTAAGATCTAAGATTGGAGTTCTCCAAGGCCATCTCGAGGGACAAGTAAGTAAAGACTAAAGAAGTTGTTAAATAAGTGAAGCCTGCGACGTCGTTTACGACAAGTAAAGATGCTACGACAAGTAAAGACGTTGCCGTTTTTGCCTATCGGTCCAAGTTAAATCACAACCATCAAATTAAATAGAATCCGACGGCTCCAATTCAATCAGAAGTCAACAATATAAAAGGGAACTTTTTCACACATTTGGAAGTTAGATCGTGTATTAGGTTTTTCTCCTTTTCTGTGTAAATGCGTTTTGTAACCTGGGTTAGGGTTTCATATTCATTCTGGTTCTTCTCTGTGTGAATCTTTCTAGAGGCTTATTTTGAGGGTAGGGTGTTCCTTAAAGGGTATAGAGTACTCTAGTGGTTATTGAGATTTGCGGGATAAAGGGAAGTGAATGAGTGTGTGAATGTGTTGTTGACAGTGAAGAAGATTTGTCTGTAATCTGTAATCTTTGAAGTGTTTAATCCTAGTGCAGCGAGCTCCATATTCTGGAGCTCAACATGGATGTAACTTGTTCTATATTGAACAAGCGAACCATGGTATATTGTGTGTTGTGTGATTTCTTGTTCTTGCGTTTGATTTGATCTGAGATTGATTTGGTGGTTTGAGTAATTAGGATTGATTTACAACAGTGGTATCAGAGCCAAAAGTTCTAAGGTGTATCTGTTGGAGTTGTCGACTACTTCAGCATTATTGGGTAACGGAGACGAACTGGGGGTCCCGCTATAGGATTTCTTTTAAGTTACTAATTCCTTATTGGGTTGGGCTTAGGAATAGGAATCCTTGTAAAACTAGGTTTAGTCTCTTAAACCTAGTATATAAACATACTTTTCTCTTGTTATGTGTGTGATAGCAATTCATAGGGCAATTCATTCATTGTAAACGAGAGAGGTGAGACATATTACAATAATATTGACTCAGCATGACATAGCCCACATTGGGTGAACCAGGGTAAATCGTGCGTGTTATTTTCTTTGTTTACTGTTTGATTTGTTTTACTATTATATTTTGTTCCTGTTGTTGTCTCTATTTCGTTCAATTTGTATCAGAGCCAGGTTTTGTTAGATTGTGATTTAGAGATGGCAGGATCAAAGGTTGAGATTGAGAAGTTTGATGACAAACGCTTTGAGCTTTGGAAATTGCGGATGGAGGATCTACTCATTGATAGGGATTTGTGGGGTGCAATTGTGAATGATAGGCTAACAGCCGGGACTACCATTGTTACGATGAGTGAAACGTCTGGAACTGCATTGTCAAGTACGTCTGGGTCTAAACCTGCAACGCCACCTAAAGGAGAATTATTAGCGACTGATCGTGCCGCACTTGCTGAATAGGACAAGATGGATAGGAAAGCTAGAGGTTTGATTCACATCTGTCTTGAGGACTCCGTTCTAATGAATGTGATGGATCAGGATGCGACTAAGGGTTTATGGCAGAAGATGGAAAATATGTATCTAAGTAAGTCTTTGGTGAACATGCTGTTCCGTCGCAAGAAACTCTACAATCTCCGTATGCATGATGAGGATTCTCTTGCTGCACATCTGGATGAGTTTAATACTCTGGTGAATCAACTGCTGGCTGTGGATGTACAACTCACCGAATCTGAGAAAGTGGTAACATTGTTATGCTCGCTGCCTGATATGTGGGACAACCTGATTGTTGCGATTGGTGGTGGAGGATTGACATAGATGTCGTGGGAATCTGTATGTTCTACATTGTTGGCAGAGGATATGCGGCGAATAGGTTCAGAGGGTTTGTCTAGGGATGCTTTAACTGCTAAGGGACGAAACCTTGATAGGAATTCTAATAAGTCTAGCGACAGGGGAAAGTCGTGAGGTAGATCTAAGAGCAAGGATAAAAGTAAGATTAAATGTTGGAGATGTCAGGAATTTAGGCATTTTAAGAAAGACTGCAGAAAGAAACCGGTGAAAGGGAAGGAAGCTGAAACTTTGTACAAACGAGAATCAAATAGTGATATGTATGTGGCTGCTGCATGTATGGCTGGATTAGACCAATCAGTCTGGTATGTTGATACTGGTGCGTCATTCCATATGACACCTCACAAGGAATGGTTTTGTAAGTATGAGACATACAATGGAGGAAACGTTCTATTGGGAGATAATACTGCTGTGAAGATTATTGGCCGCAGGAAAATCAGGCTGAGGTTGCATGATGGTTTAGTGAGGACGCTCCCTGAAGTGATGCACATCCTTGGTATGAGTAGAAATCTGCTCTCTGTTGGAACAATGGCTGACGCAGGTATAGTATTCAATTGTGACAGAACATCCTATAAGATGACTCGGGGATCTATGGTTACTGCACGAGGAGTTCGACATGGTACACTATACAGGCTGCAGGCATCAGTTGTAAGAAATTCCTCTTTGGGTGGTTATGTTTCGGAAAAGGAGGCTGAAAAAGAAATTGATTCTGCAACATTGTGGCATCAGCGAATGGGGCACATTGGAGAGACAACTTTGTCTACTTTGGTGACTCAGAATATGGCTAAAGGTATTCCTAACTGTTCCATGAGTTTTGGGTTTTGTGAGGAATGTTTACAAGGCAAGCAGAATCGGGTTAGTTTTCAATCGATAGGCATGAGAGCAACAAAAATACTGGAGTTAATTCACAATGACGTTTTTGGGCCCACTCCAGTGGAATCTGTTGGTAAATCCAGGTATTATGTATCTTTCATTGATGATTTTTCTAGATACTGTTGGGTTTATTTCATGCGCAGCAAGTCTGAGGCTTTTGAGAAATTTCGGGAA